AACTTGAGCCATCATTTTAAAGAAACAAAGCAAAGAAAGAAATTGGTTTTTCAGATCTATCATTTTGACACTTCTTTTGTGTTGTTTTCTATGCTAAACTCTTGTGTTTTCTGTTAATTCTCTGTTATTTTTTATTGATCAGGGGAATTTGGATGTGTTGATAGGAAAGCATGTGACTTCTCTGAGTCAGGCATGTAGTTTTGCTGGGGTCTGAATGTTTGTGACTACAGAATTCCTGTGTTGGACTCTAATCTGAAATATAATAAGTCTTTCGGAAGCTCTGTTCTCATGGATGGATTTAATGTCTTTTAAAAAAGAGGTTTAGGAGCCTTTGGCAGCATCTGTCATGTGTGAACACATCAGTAGAAGGCACCATTAGTGAGACATGGCCCTCGTCAGACCTGAATCTTAGTGCTTGGATTTTGGACTTCCCAACTTCAAAACTGTGAACAATAAATACCTGTTGTTTATAAATTACCTAATGTAATTTTGTTATAGCAGATCCAGATAGACTTTAATGAGCCAGATTTTACTGATTTGCTAACTATTTAGTTGACAAATTATTCTCTTTCTCCCAGCATGCTTCCCGTCTTGTTTTGTTATTATATTATTAGAGACCTTGAAACCTTAGACTGGATACACTGTTCAGTTTGTGATAAGACTCTGCTTGAAGTGCCAGGATATTTAGCTTTCCATACAGTTTTCTAATACAGCGTTTTCCTGCCTGAGTTCTTTATAAACTATCTTGGCAACTTACAGATGACCGGTTGGTGTGCTGACTTGTTGCTGTTGTATTTTGCTCTGAAAACCACAGGGAAACAGTGAGCCAAATCTCATCTAATATTCAGAGTGTTTAATGTCATCTGTTCACAGTTGCTGAATTTCTGTAATCTTTACCTTTTTCTTCCCTCAACTTTATGTAGGCTTGTGTTTCAAACTGCCGTTGGTTCTGTCTATAAGGATGTCTTCCAAGTACGTCAAAGCCAAATACTGACTCCTGAAAACCTTTCTTCTGTTGATGCTGTTTTAATTCTTGACAGTTTCACACATGTATGTAGCATAGCTGCACCACATGTATCTCCTCCTTCACTAACCCTCTCTCCTAGACAGGTTCTCCATCTACTAGAGTTTCTGAACTGCTGAGGAAAGTGACTCCCTTGCCCTGTAACCATCACCTGCCAGTGGCTCCTGGGGGAGTGCAGCCATGGGCACCTCCCTCACCCTGGGGGAGTGCAGCCATGGGCACCTCCCTCACCCTGGGGGAGTGCAGCCATGGGCACCT